GGAAATGTAAAGGTAGACATTTTGTGGCAAAAGGAGAGGAGTGATTGACTTTGCAGTCTAGGAGTGGTGGTTCCTGGAACCATCAAGGGAGAAGAGCGGAGTGCAAGACCCTACCCAGAGAAGCAGTGTCGCCAGAGATGGAGGCAGAGACAATGACATGGAGAGATGGAGCAGCTGGGGACTCTAGACCCAGAGAAGGAAAAGGGCTGTGCGCTGTCAACCAGGGGGCAGGCTTGCAGGATATACCCTTTGGTTATTTGATGATGCATGGAGTGGATTGTAACCATGGCAATAAAATGATATACGATATGATGAATGTAAATCTAATGATCTCCCACGTACACTATCACATAATTCACAATAATACATTAAAATAAAAAGCACCAATATTTAAAATTTTCACAGATACCACCAAATTGTTTCCAAAAAAATTTTAATTTATAGATCCATCACCTAATATGACAGTGACCACTTTGCATATGCCTATTGACATTAGATTTTATGAATCTTCACAATTTTAATAATCTGAAAGTTAATAAAACTTAATTTCCATAATTTTTCATTCCATTTCAAATTTATAATATTAATAACCTTTCTATCTGACTATGATAGTTATTTCTATTGTTGTTAAGTGCTGTTGAGTTGATTCTGTACAGGGTTTCTAAGGAGAAGCTGGTGAGTTTGAACCACCGACGTTGCAGTTCCAATGACTTTGCAGTCTGACGCATTAGCCCACAGTGCCACACCAGGACTCCTAGTTATTTTTGAGACCTCATCTATTTGTCTATTACTGTTGTTGTTGAGTGCCATTGAGTTGGTTCTGACTCATAGCGACCCTGTGCAGGGTTTCCAAGGCTGTCAATCTTTATCAGAGCAGAAAGCCTCGTCTTTCTCCTGTGGAACAGCTGGTAGTTTCGAACTGCGGATCTTGAGGTTAGCAGCCCAACTTGTAACCATTTTGCTACCAGAGTAAAAATTTCCATATTTTACTTTATTCATTCCATATTTCTTATTCGAGTAGGAAAAATTTTCCTTTATCTTCTATTAAAGACAGTTTAAACATACAATAAAAAAATTAAGATTGTGAATGTAACTATCATTTTTTTTTTTACAAAGCAGTTTTCTAGGTCTCTCTTTCATGAATCTCTAGATGGGTTTGAACTGCCAGCATGATGATCATATATTACTTATGCTCCACAGGCTCATTTATCTAAAATATTGTAAGCAAAAAATGGATATATGGGACATAATATAAAGTTATTTAAAAAAATACAAAATGCAGGGAATTTAATTTTATTAGATGTTGAAATTTCAGATTATTAGGAAATGGATGCACAAAATAAATTAGGCACAATTAGTTATTCATTTAGATAAATAATGTAAAATATCTTCTAAATATCTTTAAAATATAAATGGAAGTAATACATTTATAAGATAGTAGAAGAAAATACAGAAATATATTGTTTTAATCTTTTCCTTTACAGATTCTAGGTTTACTGCTTTATTGAGACATACTTCCTTTTTTTTTTCTGTTATTTTAAAAATTGTTGGGATATTAGGCTAAAATGTTGATTTTTGGTCTTTCTTTGGTTTTGATATGTGGTTTAATGCTATAAATTGACCTCTGAATACAGTTTTTACTGTATCCCAAAGATTTGGGTATATTTGATTCTGTGAATATTTTTATTTTATTTGTTATTTTGTCTTCTACTCAGTAGTTTTTAATTGGGGTGTTCAATTTTTTTTTCTTGTTGTTGTTTTGTTTTGTTTTTTTTAACTTTTGCATGTGTTATTCAGTTTTCATGCATTTATTTATCTTCTTCTTTAATAATCAATTTCTAAATTTAAAGTGTGATATGAGAAGATGTTTTGTCTTATTTCAGTGTTTTTAAATTTACTAAACTTGTTTTTGTGGCCAAACACAGTCTATTCTGGAGAACAATCCATGTGCATAGGAAAATTAAGGTATTTGAGTTAAAGTTGGTTGATTGTGTTGTTTAGATCTTCTGTATCTTTGTTGAATTTCTATCTAGTAGCTCTTTCCTTCATAAAAGTTATGTATTAGAATTATTGGAGGGGTCTATTTCTCTTTTAAGTCCTGCTAAGCTCTGGAGTCCTGGTGTGGCACTGTGTCTTTATGCAACAGACTGCAAAGCTGTTTGAACTACAAGGTCATCAGTTCAAGCTCACCAGCTGCTCCTCGGAAACCCTATGCAGGGTAGCTATGGGTCAGAACCGACTCGACGGCACCTCACAACAAGCTCTGGTAGCATAGTGGTTACAAATCGAGCTGCTAACCTCAAGGTCGGCAGTTCGAAACTACCAGCGGTTCCGTGGGAGGAAGATGAGGCATTCTGCTCCCGTAAAGGTTTACAGCCTTGGAAACCATTTGCAGGGCCACTATGAGTCAGAACTGACTCCACGATACTTAACAACAAAAACAAAAAGTGTTATATGTATTTTAGAGCTCTTTCATTGGGTATGTAGCTACTTATTATGTTTACATTCTCATATAGTAATGAATCTTTAATCATTCCAGAATATCCTACGTTATCTCTTACACTAGTTTTACCTTAAAGCCTACTTTATCATAAATTAATATTGCCAATCCTGCTCTTTTTTAATTGTTGTTTTATATATGTCTTTTCATCCTTTGGTTTTCAGCTATTTTTATCTTTGTATCTAAGGTGTGTCTATTTTTTGTCATGTTTTCTTATCCATTCTACAACTTTATTTTTTGAATGGTGCATTTAATTTACTTACATTCAATATAATTATGCATTGTGGTTAGAATTTTTCTTGCTTTCAGGGCTTTATAATTGTCAAGCCATTATCTTCCAGCCTGCATGATGTCTACCGAGATATATGCACATTCACATTCATTGACGCAAAAAGATAGAAGGAGCTTAAGTGCCCATCAACAGAAGAACGGTGAAACAAGCTTTGGTACATAAACACCATGGAATACTACACAATGTGATGAATAATGATGAATCTGTGAAACATCATCTCATAGCATTGATGCACCTGGAGGGCATTATGCTGAGTGAAATTAGTCAATCAGAAAAGGACAAATATTGTATGAGACCACTATTGTAAAAAGTCAGGAAAAGACTGGGTGACAGGGAAGGCAATACATATCAAGAGGGAGGGGTGCAGAAGAAAGATGAAGGTACAAGAGAAAACAGGGAGGAGTGCAAGGGTTCAAGGGAATAGAGGTAAATACTGCTAACCGATGGCATGTGAAAGCAAATAAAGTGTATGACTTGCTGAATGCAAAGCTGAAGATCTATTCTGTAAGGTTTCTCACAACAAAGATTTTTTTTTTTAAATGTTGTTGTTGTTGTTAAGTGCCATCGAGTCGGGTCCGACCCATAGCGACCCTGTACAGGGTTTCCAAGGGTGTAAATCTTTACGGGAGTAGAAAGCCTCATCTTTCTCCCGCGGAGCGGCTGGTAATTTCGAACCGCTGACCTTAAGGTTTAGGATGCTCTTATTTCTAATCATTTCCTTAATCTAGGTCTATACACTTCTGAAGGCAGTACCTCCATCTTTCTAAACCTTTGAAGAATTCTGTGCTCATCAATTTATACTATGTCAAAAAAGCAGTTTGGGCATTTTCAAGGTACTCAAATTATGTTTCTTTGAAATGTTCTTTTATTTTTAAGACCAGAAGCTGCAGTATATGCAATGACATACAGAAGTGCAACACATACTTAGAACATATGTATATAATTCAAATAATAAAGACTGTCTCAGATTGGGCCCAGATATTGGATTTATCACGCAGACTTCAAAGCAGTTGTTGTAAATATAACATAAGAACTAGAAGAAATCATGATTATAATCACTAGCAAACAGAAAATACCAATAAAATGAAAGGAATTGTTAAACATAAATAAATAAATAAATTCTGAAGGAGAAATGTACCATAAATAAATCAAAGCCTTCGATAGGTAAGTTAACTCAAGACTTTTGTATTATAGTGTGTATAAATCATACCCTAATAAGGCTACTAAGATACTGTTATTCTTATTTGTATAAATTGAGTAACTTTTACAGACCAAGATGCAACACATTTTTTCTGGAAATAATAATTATGATAACAGTAGAAAACCCTATTTAGTTTTTGTTATGTGCCTCTCTGAACTTATTTAAGTATCAAAGGACACTAAGTTTTAAAATCTATTATCACATTGCTTAAAATTATATGCAAAAGAAACAATAACCATCATGGTATGGTTAAATAAAAGAAACTCAGATTAAAAAACTGTACTCAAAGTCTCAGAACTAGTTTTCTTACCTATGTAGTTTGATTTCTAAATTCATGAATATAGATTAATATTGAATGACATATATTAAAATGACTGTAATGCTGTAAAAATATATTTTAGACTCCATACTTAGTATGTAACATACATATTTTATAACATAATTATTAATTCCTTAAGACTTAAAATTTTAACAACTCAATCAGCTAATTATATTTTCTTTTCATTATAACTCTATAAAAGAAATGAAGTAAAAATCTACCTTTTCACTTAGACTTACTAAGATCTTGAGAGTTGTAGCAGCATCATTTTTAAACTTTGGATTTAAGCACAATTTAAAAATAGCTCCTCTATGCAAAAACCCAGTAGGTTATGATGACATTGTAATACGGATGTCAAAGTAATTACAAAATACTCATATTTTCAATAATATGAGCTTTAATTTATACTTTAAAACTTATAACTACATTATCATAAGTGATTCTATGCTTCACTGTAGTAACGAATGGTTAGCTAATTAGAGGCTATAGTTTCTTACCTGTGTTTAACATATGAAATATTTTTCTACTACTAATACTCTCACTTTAAATAAATCAACAAACTTTATTATTGCATATTAGAAGAGGTGTTTTGCTAACTCAATTAAAATATCTATAGTTAGTAAATCTTCATAATATAAGAGTTTATTACCTAAGACAAGAAAAAATAAAATTTAGAGTAACATCTTACCACGCCAATGGAAAAGTAATTATTGATGATACTGTAAGGCACTGGGTCTCCCTTCTCATCTTTATCATTAGGTATGACTTCAAATTTCCACCTGTCCAGCATGATTTCTGTGCTGTTTTCAATGTCTTTTAGGATTCGCATCAGGTTCTCACCTTCATAACCTAATGGGAAAAAAAAAAAAAAAAATGATCTTGAGAAAAATATATCCAAATGACAAATGGTGTGTTTTATGTATATATGGGTAGATATCATTCTAAAGCTAAATAATAGATTTATTAAGCAAATTGTAGCACAAGAGAATTATCTATAATCTTTTTATACCAAAATTTTATTTTTAGTTTTAATTTCTAACTCATGTTTCTCTCCTGTGAAAAAGAAAATGCATTACAGCAGATGGTCTCATCTTTCTCCCGTGGAGTCACTAGTGGATTCAGACCACCAATCCTTCAGTTAACAGGCCAACTTTTAAGCCACTATGCCATCAGGGCTTTAAAAATGAATACACGAAAGAAAGAAAAAACAACAGTAAGAATCACAAATATAGTGTTACTACATAAGTCATGTTGGTATATAAATATAAAAATAAAGTATATGTAAACTCATCAGCCAAACATTGAATTATTAAATATAAAACTAAAGGTATTACCGACTGCATATATTTCAAGTATTTCTTAATCATTTTACTCTTATCTTGAATGTTTTAGTTAAGAAAAATAGTACAAACATAAATTTTATAATTTTTGCCTAATGAATTAATTGAGAGCAGTTAAGATTATTTCTTTTCCAAATTTTACTTAGTTCCAAAATAAGCATGATGTCATCTTGCTAGAATAAATTTATATAATGGTAAGTCAAAACACACTGTTACATTGCTACTATTCATACATATACAGGTTTATACTAAACAAAACATGTTTAGACATGCTCCTACAACCCATGGATGCTGCAGACATGTTCTCTCACTAATATCCTAGACTAACTCTCATAATGGTGCCTTCCAATAAAATGTTCAATCAAAACAAATGCTTTTTAGAGAATCTTCTGGGGCAGTTAAGTTCAAGGCAGGGTTATAAGAACTGTTTTTGGGAATCCCAAGGAATAATCTTGACAGCGTTTTCTCAAAGAACCAAGGATGATCACGGAAGCTTGTTAGGATGTTTTAAGAAAATGGAAGACTGCATTGGTGAGAAAAAGTCCAAGAATTTGTGTAGTGGATTTCTTTTTTTATCAGGTCAATGTACCTGCTTATTCTTCCAGTGAAGCAATGGCTGTCCAATCAGAAATTCATTGAGGGACCTTAGCTCATCCATCCTACAGGCCTGATCTTGATCTTTCGCATTTCTTTTTGTATTCAAAACTCAAAGAGCATTTAAAATGAACACAATTTGAGCCCCTCAAGAATGCCAAAACTGTTGGTTTGAAGTGATGTAAATCAAAGAGAGTAGAACTCTTTGGAGGTTTGAGAGACAGTAACACCACTTTCATAAGTGTAGAGATCTAAACCCACTGCCATCAAGTCAAATCAGACTCTTAGTGACCATATAGGACAGAGACCAACTGCTTCCTGTTTTCAAAGGAGCTCTAGTAGCCTAGGGGTTATGTGTTGGGCTGCTAATCTCAAGGCCAGCAGTTCTAAACTACCAGTGGTTCTGTGGGAGAACGATGAAGCTTTCTCCTCCTGTAAAGATTTACAGCCTCAGAAACCCTATACAGGGCTGCTATGGGTCAGAACGGACTCCACATCACACCAGCAGCAGCACTGCTTTACCACGTATTATGTCCTTCTCCAGGAACTGGTTACTCCTGATAACATGTCTAAAGTATGAGCGACAAAGTCAATCCATCCTGGCTTCTAAGGAGCATTCTGGCTGTAAATCTATCAGCATCTATTTGCTTGTGTTTAGGAGCTCTGGTAGCGTAGTGGTTACGAATCGGGCTGCGAACCTTAAGGTCAGCGGTTTGAAACTACCAGTCGCTCCGCGGGAGAAAGATGAGGCTTTCTACTCCCGTAAAGATTTACACCCTCGGAAACCCTGTACAGGGTCGCTATGGGTCGGGGTCGACTCGATGGCACTTAACAACAACAACAACAATGGTACACTTAATATGCTCCTCCAGTACCATAACTCAAATGCATCTATTCTTCTATGGTAATCTTTATTAATTGTCCAATATGCATATGAGGTTACTAAAAATATCATGGCTTGTGTCAGGCTCGTCTTATTGCTCAAACTGACATCTTTACTTCTGAACACTTAAAGAGGTCTTGTACGGCAGATTTGCCTAATGCAATACATCATTTGATATCTTGATTGCTGTTTCTATGAAGTCCTTGACAACTTCAATGTTATCCCTTTTTGTTGATATTATTTATTGGTCCAGGAGTGAGTATTTTTGTTTTATTTACATTGAGGTGCAACCCACACTGAAGGCTGTGGTCATTGATCTTCATCAGTAAATATTTTAAGTACTCTTTGCTTTCAGTAAGCAAGTTTGCATCATCTGCATATCATAGGCTGTTAATGAGTTTCCCTCCAATCCTGATGCCACATTCTTCTTCATATAATCCAGTTTCTCAGATTGTTTGCTCAGCATACAGATGGAATAAGTATGGTGAAAGAATATAACCCTGACACATACATTTCTTAATTTTAAACCATTTGGTGTTCCTTTGTTCTGTTTGAGTAACTGCCTCTTGGTCTATATACAGGTTACTCATGAACACAAGCAAGTGTTCCATACATCAAAATTCTTTGCATAATCAATAAAGCACAGGTAAACATCTTTCTGTTGTTCCCTGCTTTCACCCAAGATCCAACTGATGTCAGCAATGATATCCCTCATTGCATGTCAGTTTCTGAATATGGCCTGAATCTGAGGCTATACTTCTGCGGCCACTTTTGAATGATCTTCAGCAAAGTTTTACTTGCATGTAATATTAATGATATCATTTGATAATTTCTGCATTCCGTGGGTCATCTCTATTTAGAATGGGCACAGATATGGTTCTCTTCCAGTCAACTGTCCAGGTAGGACACTGGTGAGGGCCTCCAGTACTGCATAAGTTTGTTGAAATCAATTCCTGGAGCCTTGTTCTTTGCCAGTGCCTTCAGTACAGTTTGGACTTTTTCCTTTATTATCATTGGCTCTTGATCATATGCTACGTCTTGAAATGGTTGAACATTTACCATTTCTTTTTGGTAAAGTGACTCTATGTACTCCTTCCATCTTCTTTGGTTACCTTTTGCATCATTCAATATCTTGCCCATTTGTTGTGAAGTGCCGTCAAGTTGATTCCGACTTATAGCGACCCTAGTGGTTATATGATTTCCAAGTAGCATCTGGAGGATTTGAACTGCCAAACCTGTGGTTCATAGTTCAGTGCTGATCATTCAATATTGCAAGTTAAAGCTTGAAGTTTTTTCAGTTCCCACAGATTGAGAAACACTGAGTGTGCTCTTCCTTTTTATTTATTTATTTTTTTCCTAACTCCAGATCTTTACACATTTCATTAAAACATTTGACTTTGTCTTGTCAAGCTGACCTCTGAAATTTGCTATTCAGCTCTTTTATCTTCCCATTTCTTCCATTTGCTCTAGTGTCTCTACACTGGAGAGCAAATTTCAAAGTCTTTTCTAACATTTATTTTGGTCTTTTCTTTCTTTCTTGTCTTCTTAATGATCATATGCTTTCTTCCTCTATGATATAATTGATGTCATTCCACAACTCTTTTGGTCTCTGTCATTAGTGTCCAATTCACCAAATCTGTTCCTGAGCTTGATCTCTAAATTCAGGTAGGTATGTTATACATCATATTTTTACTCCCTTGGATTTGTTTTCATTTTTTTTTAGCTTCAGCATGAACTTACGTATAAGCAATTGAGGGTCTGTTTCACATTCTGTACCTGGCCTTGTTTTGGCTGTCAATATGGAACTTTTCTACCATCTCTTTCCACATAAGCAATCAATTTGATTTTTCTGTATTCCATCTGGTAGGGTCCATGTGTATAGTTATCACTTATGCTTTTTAAAATAGGTATTTGCAATGAAGAAGTCATTACTCTTGCAAGATCCCATCATGTTATCTCCAGCATCATTTCTATAATCAAGACCATGTTTTCCAATGACTGATCCTTCCTCTTTGTTTCCAATGTTTACATTCCAATCACCAGTAATTATCAGTACAGCTTGACTGCAATTTCAGACTAAAGAAGTTGATACACTTCTTCAATTTCAACATCACGGGCTTCAGTGGTTGGTGCACATATTTAAATAATAGTGGTGTTAATTGGTCTTCTGTGAAGGCATATGGATATTATCCTACCACAGACACCATTGTACTTCAAAAGATAGATCTTGAAATGTTCTTTTGGATGATGAATGAGACACCATTCCTCTTCAATTTGCCTTTCCTGGCACAGAAAATCAAGTGACTTTCAGATTCAAAGTGGTCAGTACCAATCTACTCAGCTCAGTAATGTCTAGGATATTGATGTGTATGTGCTCCAGTTCATAGTTTATAACTTCCAGTTTTCCTAGGTTCATACTTCATACATTCCATGCTCTGATTATTAATGAATGCCTGCAGCTATTTATCTTCCATTTGAGTTGTGCCCCATTAGCAAATGAAGGTCCCAAAAACTTCACCATTGGATATGCTTTCAAAGATTTAAGTAAGTGTGAAAAAAAATCTGGTATAAATCATCCATTAGCTACATAAATTGGAACCAGGTGATAATGAGAATTCTAGTTTAAGAATAACAAAAACTGTAATTCAGAATTAATTCACAAAGGAAAAGAATTCCAAATTATAACCCAATCCCGCATTTCAGAAACATATATAACCTACTTCTTCACATATATTTATGTTTAAGCTTGTTTTTCATTAATAAAAGTCTTGAATTCAAGAAAATCAGAAATTTAAAAATGAAAAGTCAACCCAAAATATGCAAGGAAAAGTTTATTTCCCACAACAAATGGTGCTGCTTTGTTTCCATTTAGTCTATGAATATTCTATGCTAAGAAAAAAAAAAA